GGAGGCTGCAATGCTTGGTAAGAAATGTACGCATTATCCTGCCCATGTAATTGTAACCCCTCTGTACAGTATGTTCACAAATAAAATAAAATAAAATTAAAAAAAAATTTTGTTGGTCTAAGTTATTCTCCTGCTTACGCCAGCTTGCTTTTGCCCTAGAAATAGTTCTCTACGGCTCTTTCATGATTTAAACCTATTGATACACAGAGACCCGCTTCAGTAGTCTGGTGAAAACTTTGGGGACTTTCTCACAATAATGTGTTAAAATTCATGACGTAAAATGCCTATAATCATAAAAGAAACTACTCATACTGAAATACGGTTCAAATATTAATAAAAAACAAATTTTAAGCTACATAATATGTGTGCTTCTTTATTAACACATCCAATAACAATGTAGCAGCAGGTTTTAGAATTACAGTAATTTTGAAGGAGTGAGCAAATAATACATCAGAATATCCATACCAAAAGTAAGTGGTATTTCTCGTTGTCAAAGTTTCAGAGCTCACTACCACCACCACCACCACCAACATCACTACAACTACTACTACTACTAATTTATTTTTCTTCTTTGCCAACATTCATTACTGAAGGAAATGCTACATTTCCTTTAGCTGTTAGTCAAGACTGTTTAAAAATGTACATTTGTAAGATAAGAATGTATTTGTTCCCATTCTAATACAAAGAGCTCTGGTGGTCCCTTGGAGATCAATGGGCCTCAGTGAAGTAGTACTCTCCAATCTCATCTCTCTCATCAAATACCTTCCACCCCTCGCCCCTACCCCCACCACAATGGCCACCTGTTCTTCAAATGCATACAGCCTGGTCCATCTTAAGTATCTTGTTTGCTTTGCTCTCTTTCTAGAGTTCCCAGCCCTCAGATCTTTTCATGATTGTTTCTTTCTCATCACCTGTGATCTCAGCTTAAGTATCACCTGCTATAAGAGTGCTTCTCTGATCACATCATGTAAAATAAAGTAGTCCCCCTCTTCCTCATCTTGTTTTCCTCCCAGCCATCACAGCTGGAAATGATTGTGCTCATCTATGTGTTTGGGGGTTTTATTTCCTGCTTCTCTGCCCTATACATGAGTTTTGTACAAACAGGAGCCTCAGCTATCTGTTCATTGCCAAACTGCTGGCATTCAAAAGAGTTTTGAGTTGCACATATATTTGCAGAAGTGAAAGAAAATGTAACAAGGACTCTGCAAGTATTAGTTCTCTCATCTTTGCTCTGTATATTTGTACAGTGTAGATACAAAGATATGAGAGATAAACTCCCATCATTAAGTGGTTAGGAGTCCAGTGGAGGCTGTGGGTGGTCCTAGGGGAGGTGGCATGCATATGGGCTAGCCTAGGCTCCTGGCCAGACTCTACTATTCAGCTGAGTGACCATGGATAAAGCATTTCTAGGGTCCTGATTCCTATGATGCCAAGAGAACGGGTTAGACAGACTTATCTACATGGTCTATAGTTCATGGTTAAGACCTAACAGAATAAAGTCGCCTATCAGCAAGAGAGGGATGTGACCCTAGGTGGAAAAAGCTTCTTCATGAACCAGAAAAGGCCTAGGTCAGTCTCCAACAAATGAGGAGGGGAGATTTTCTGAGTTAGAAACTCTCAGGGAAAAATGCTTTACAGGAGACCAGGAGATGAAGCGTTGATTCTCCAGATGAGACCATTTCTGGAGAGTTAAATACAATACCCCAGCTGTTATATGCAACCCAGTGAGGTGGTTGAGAAGAGCCACTGTCTGAGTTGATATCTCAGTTCTGTTCTCTATTTGTTATGGGGATTCAGCAAAATCATGTCACTTCTTTGTTTCTTAATTTCCACAATGGGGGGAAAATAGTATCTACTTCATGAGGTTATAATCAAGAAAACAACTGTAACATGCTTAACATACAGACAGTAAATGGGACCTAGGATTCTGTTAAATAGATTACCAGTGAGACAAACTTACTATGTATCGGACCAAAACATTTTCCCTTTTTCCACTGTAATTCAGTTTTTAACCAGCACAAGCTAGAGACTGTGTTATCCAGGTTGGAGTTTTTTTTAGGGCTAGCGTATAACTTAATCTTACCTTTTCCTTGACATTCACATGAGTATTGAGTTCAGCCATCTTGCTTCTAGTAGAAGAAGCCCTGAAAAAGAGGACAAAATGATTAAGGTTTAAAAATTCATTGCTCAATGTATTATTATTGTGCTCTCTTTCCAACATAGTAAACAATTTCATTCAGTTGTAATCATAAATACTATTTTATAATGTAAAATATACTTTCAAGTGAAGCATTTGACTTAGGTATGTCCTAAAAGCATGTTATGAGATCCCTGGAAGACAATAAAATAACTTTTATTCATACTGTATTCACATGGAAAATGACAAAGACAGATGGAAATGCACCCGAACTGTTTTTCTCATTATGTAAAAGAAGAAGGTAGTAAAAAGAAACAGTGGGAGGAGGAAAACGACTTAATTTAAGCCTTTTCATTGAAATCCTCATCATCCCAAAGCTTCTGCCAGCACCCAGGTAACCTCATACATGTTCAGAGTATTTATTGCATGGATACAGCTGTATCAAGCACTGCAGGAGAAAACAGTACAAATGGTTTGGGTATAAGCGAGAGAAACACTTTCCTCTCATTTTCCCTTAGGAATGCTGTCACTTCAGATCTTAGTGGGATTGTTTCTTTCCCATTCTTTTCATCTCAGCTCAAGTTTACTTCCTGACTCTTCCAGCTAAAGCAGCCATGAGCCTGCCGTACTTTCCACTCTCTTCTACATCAGTATTCCTTTTTGTGCCAGTACTGGGGATTAAATTCAGCGGCACGCAGGCGCTCTTCCTTAGCTTTTCTGTTCAAGTTGGGTACTCTGCCATTTGAGCCATAGTTCCCCTTCAGGCTTTTTGCTCATTAAGAGATAAGTCTTGGATCTGTTTGCTTGAGCTGGCTTTGAACTGTGATATTCAGATCTCAGCTAGGATTATGGGCATGAGCCACTAGCACTGGCTGCTTTTAGGACTTGGGATTGGGACTGCGCTCAGGGGCCATGCTTGCTATTCAAGTTCTTGATACTTAAGCCACATCCCCAGATCCCTGATTTTTTTGCTGTTTATTTGTTTTGTGGTTAGTCTTGAGCTAACTTTGCTAGGGCCACCCTTGAACTGTGTGTGATTCTCCCACCTCTGTCTTCCAATTAGCTGGGTCCACAGGCATGCGTCCTTACTCCCAGATTTTGCACTCGCCAACATGTTTTGAACAACCTTCTGGCAATCTCGCAAGTTTTTGTATGTGTGATGGTCCTGGGGCTTGAATTCAGCATCTGAGAGCTGTCCCCAAGCTTTTTTTTGCTCAAGGCTAGCCCTCTACCACCTGAGTCACAACTCCAATTCTGGCTTTTTTTGGGGTATTTAATTGGAGATCACAGACTTTCCTGCCTAGGCTCGCTTTAAACCACGATCCTCAGGTCTCATTCTCCTGTATAGCCAGGAATATAGTGTGAGCCACCAGTACCAGTCAATCCTGTAATTTTTTTAAAAGCATATATTCACAATCTCTAATTTCAACAATCCCTTAATCTTCTGAGAGCTATATTCCTAACGTCAAGCCATAGTCCTTCACCATTATTATGGAAAATATATCTTAAGTCTTTAATAGCTTTAGTCTTTTATTTTTGGTGGTACTGTGGCTTGAACACTCTGTTTGTTCAGCTTGCTTCTTCACAGATAGTGCTCTACTACTACTTGAACCAAATCTCCAGCCTGGCTTTCTGAGGGTTAATTAGAGATAGAGACTCATGATCATTTCTGCCTGGGTGATCACTAAACCATGATCTCAGATTAGTAGCTAGGATTCTAGAGGTGAGTCACACCTTCACCCAACAGTTCCAGTCTTTTGTTGTTGTTGTTGTTGGTCGTGGGGCTTGAACTTTGGGCCTGGGCACTGTCCCTCAGCATTTTAGCTCAAGGCCAATGCTCTACCACTTGAACCACAGCACCACTTCCAGCTTTTTCTGCTTATGTGGTGCTGAGGAATCAAACCTAGGGCCTCATGCATATGAGGCAAGCACTCTACCACTGAGCCACCTTCCCAGCCCCCAGTTCCAGTCTTTTTGAGATGAAAAATAAATGCATGACTTAAAGGCATGTACAAATTAGTACAGAAATTAACAGCCAGTTGGGCCAAAGTATCATCAATATATACTTCCATTTGCATGTTGAATGCTTTTTGCCAATCAAATACTACTGAAATACTTTCTTGCATTCTTTCTACTACTGTAATACAGTTTCTCTGTCTCTAAAGATGATACATTAGGAACATAATTTAAATTCTCTTCTTTCTTCCTCTATTTTGTTTTGTTTAGAGAACATCCTCAATGTTTTGAGGTGTACTTCTATATAATCCAGGATGGCCTTGAACTCACTCTGTAGCCCAACTTGTCTGGCCTCCAACTTGAATCTTCCTACTTTTGTCTTGTGAGTGCTGAGATGACAGGTATGCATCACTACCACACCTGACTTTCCAATTATTTTCTGTTAAACCTAAGCCTTAAAGATAGATTGAGATCCATCAGCCTGGTTTTTTTGGCCGATTTTAGGATAAAAGCTTGATAGCATCAAATGTTAACTGTACTATTGCTCCCACTATTCTCCAATAGGCATCCACATATAGTATTATCAAATATTTTTAGGCAATAAGATTTTATTCTTCGAAGTTTCCAAATAGTACTGCCACGGATGCATATTTGGGCACACTATCAAACATTGTTAGCTCACTGAACATACCTCCCATTTCTGTCACTTGGCAAAGTCTAGTCCTCTGACTTGGCATATGGAAGAAAGTCAATGTACTAGCTAGCAAATAACATTTGAGTTGTATCCTCGTTTTCTCTTGGCCCCTGAAAGTTACTAGTAAAAGACAAGTTTATTTTCTGATTATCTCTAATAGGGGACAGAAATGGTAAGTGAGAAATAGGAACAAATGATTGGGAATTTCTGCTCAGAATCCGTGCATAAGTAAAGCCTTGTCACCACAATGCCTTCAAGATGCCTAGAATCGTATCTGAAGACATCTGGAGGGTAGATTTCCTTATCCAAATGAAAGTTCCAGCATTGTGTGAACATATATATCATATATACATGGATTTTTTCAGTGTGTGAGTTATGTATGGTTTGGGGGAGGGAGGGCTCCCTATGGAACTACAAGAATTGAGCAGTGACAGAGCTAGGTTCGGTGCAGACCTATAATCTCAATACTTGGGAGGCTGACATAGGAAGATTATGAGTTCTTCAAGGCCAACCTGGGCTACATAGTGAGGCTCTGTATCAAAAACCAAAACCAAGCCCAGCACTGATGGGCTCATGCCTATAATCTTACTCAGGAGGCTGAGATCTGAGGATCACAATTTGAGGCCAGCTGGGTCAAGAAAGCCTGTGAGACTCTTATCTCTCCAATAAATTATTCAGAAAAAGCCAGAAGTGGTGCTGTGGCTCAAATGGTAGAGCACTAGCCTTGAGCACAAGAGGTTCAGGGGCAGTGCCCAAGCACTGAGTTCAAGCCCCAGGACCAGAAAAAAAAAAAGAACAGAAAAGAATAATTACATAGTGGCAACTGGATTTGGCACTGTTAGGATGGGCCTGGGGCCATAAAAGCCCACCACCAGTTAAATCTTCTCAACACATCCAATTTGGCCATTATAGATGTGTAAAACCCGATGGAAAAAGTTTTGCTACATTTTTGCATTTGGGCTTTGATGTCTAGAATTTGGGAATGCAGCACTGGTAACGCTGAAGTGCTGCAATCCACAGAGGAATCAGACAGGCAGTCTACTGTGCAGACATTTCTGAGGTCTGGGGAAATGGCAGCACTGGATGATAAGCTACATTTATTTATTCAACACACACACACACACACACACACACACACACACACACACACACACACACACACACACACACACACACCTCTTTCTCTTTGACCTAAAAGTCTTGACCCAGAGGAAGACTCTTTCGTAGTAATGCCAATAAGATCAACCAGTCAGTGTGTGTGTGTGTGTGTGTGTGTGTGTGTGTGTGTGATGTCAACTACAAGGATAGACAAGCTATTGTGAGTTTCTCAGATGCAAAGATAAGATAAAAATAATTGTAGGGAGCTGTTCTTTGTCCATTTCACGTTCCAAATTTCTTTTCCACGTGGAAGGTTGCCTACAGAGCTCTTCTCCCCACGAGGATCCCGACACCCTTTCCAAATCCTGGCCAGAGTACAACAGAGTGTTGGGAAACTGGCTGTGGCTCCAGTTACAGAAACTAGTTGAAGGTCTATTATCTAAACAGATCAAAAACTTGGTTTCTTCTAAAGAGTTAGGAGTGTAGGTGGTTAGGTATGAAGTTAGGTTCTGCCGTACACAGGAGAGGGTGAAGCACAGAGTGTCTGCACTTGCTCAGTGTCTGCACCTTCTGACTGGGGTGAGTCCCTAAGCCCACCTCGAACCCACATGGCCTCAGTTGCTCATGTTTCAGAGCAGACTCCTCCCTGTCCTCTATGAAAATGAAATTGTGCTGGGCCACTCCATTTTAGGGAGTCTGGGCTCTGCTATGAACTGGATCTGGCCAGTGAACTCCATAATGGACTTTTCCTCCAGGAAGCACAGTTTTACCAGATTCCACACGTCAAATCCTGGATTCAGCAACACGAAACCCCAGCCCTTCGAACTGCAGACATCTAGCTTAGCCAGAGAAGCCTCTAGTGTTGTCATTTTTAGGTCTTACAGTGAGTGACAGATGTTTGGGGACAACAGTTTCCTAATTCCCTCATATTAGTCATCAAATCTGTTAATATGTGTTTGGTGCGAGACATGATTCAGTAGGCATTTTTTTTTGGGGGGGGAGGAGTGTTCAGTACTGAGGACTGAATTCAGGGTCTTGTGCTTGCTTAGGCAAGAGCTCTACCATTTGAGACATGTCCTCCAAACCATTTTTTCCCCAAACCATTTTTTTTTATTTTTCATATAGGTTCTTGCGTTGCCATGGATCACAAGTATATCCTCCTGTATAGTTGCGATTACAAGTATGGACCAACTGGACTACTTGGTTTAGGGGAATGGGTCTCACGAACATTTTTGCGTGGGCTTGCTTTTAACTTCAAT